GAGTTATCCCTCTATCTTCCAGGTGATAACTCGGGGAGTGTCTTACTGGATTTTAGACATAGTTTATTCTTTGGCAAAGCTTCTCAGTGGAGTTGTCTAAGGGCGGTATGGGCTGCCTTCGGAGGCACCAGCATGATATATGCCACCATATAAGGGGCTCAAAATCAGAAGGAGCAGTCATTTGAGAAGATGCTATTGGGCAAAGGGTCTCAAACCTGAGTGAGCGTTGGGATCATCTAGCAGGCTTGTGGAAGCACAGACTGCTGGGCCCCATCCTCAGAATTCCTAAGTAAGCATGTCTGGGGTAGGGCCAACAGGCTCCCAGGTGATGCTGATATTATACATATGGGGACAATGACAGAGGATATTCAGGCATCAAATGGAGATTATCTTTAAGTTCTTGGTCACCTCTGGAATGCTATGTGCCTATGAGCTTTTGAGGGGAATATTACTGAAATTTGGGTTTTTTTCCTGAAACTTTTTCCAGCCTTCCCCATTTCAGTAAGTGGCTCTTCACCCAGTTACCTAAGACAGAAACCTTGGCATTGCTCCCAATTTCCTCCTCTGATTCCACTCACCCCCCCCCCCCCCGAGTCCATGAGCCCTAGAGATCTCCCCTCCAAGCCATGTCCCAAATCTTCCTCTTTGTCTCCACTGTCACTACCTAGCTCAGGCATTCAGCGAATTGTTAATGGGCACCTGTGTCCCCAGGCACTTCCCGGAACTGTGGTTGAGTGCCTACAGCTTCCGTCTGAATTGATTTCACCAGAACAGTCTGATTACCAAGGGCAACAGAAGGTGAGTGGGTCACAGCTAATCCTTTCTCACCATGAGAATAGCTTGGAACATAATGATTCTGGCACACAAAGGATGATCCTCCTCCTCCTCCTCCTCCTCATCGTCATTATCTAGCTCCAGGGTGGGCACATGTTTCTGCAAAGGGTCCAATAGTAAATATTTTAGGCTCTGCAGGTTGTATGGTCTCTGTTGTAGCACGGAAGCAGCAGTCAACCAATGGGCCTGGCTGGTGTCCCAATAAAACTTTATTTACAAAAACATTTGGTGGGCCAGATCTGGCCTTCCCACAGGCCTTACTTTGCCAGCCCCTGTACTGGACTATCACTAAATCTCCTCCCAGGTCCACCTGCCTCCTTCCTTCACCCTCCTCCTATCCTTTCCCTACAAATCAGGCAGGGTGGTCTTTCAAGCTGTAAACCAAATTACATCACTCTCTTGCATAAACCACCCCATGGCTTTTAGCCCTAGAATAAAATCCAAAGCCCTCTGTGGCCCCTGCCAGCATTTCCAGCCCCTTCTCGAGACCTTCTCCATCTTCTTCACTAGGTTCCAGCTGCACTGGCTTTCTTTCCAGTTCCCTGGATACTCCAAGCTCTTTTCCGCAGGAGCGGCTTCACACAGCTTCCTCTTCCTGCCTGGAATGGTCTTTACTGCCTTCTCTGTGTGGCTAGTTATTCTTAGCCTTCACGTCTCCTCTTTGGAGGGGCCTTCCATGCAGAAATTCTGCCCTCTTCTCCATTTCCAGTAATGCCTATACAAGCACTCTGTTTCCCCATGACTGTCGGCACTCAACTGATCACGTGACTTGCCAGTCCAGCGCTGGGGGGGGGGGGGGGGGGCGTGCTCTCCAGGAGGGCGGGAACTACCTCTGCTCCATCCAGCACGCGGCATACAATAGGTACTTCGTGTCACTGAATGAATGACTGAGGGAGTGGGTACGTAAGGGATTCTTTCCTGGAAGCAAGAGGATACTCTTCATTCTAGGGAGTGTCTGGTGATAGCTGCTGTGTCCCATGTCTTATCTTGAGCCTGGCAAGACAGCAGGGAGCTGTCGAAGATGTTGGGTCTGCACCCAGGAAGACATCCACGTGAATGCTATAAACTGTGGGCAGCACGAGTCTTGGGAGGGAAACGTCAGGGAAGTGTGGGCTGCCTCACGGCACAGGGGCTGGGGTCCCGGGAAACAGGTGCCTTTCCTTGACACCCACACAGATACTGACACTGTAATGCACCTTCCAAAGAGTGAGCCCGCTTTCCCAATGGAAGGTCGCAAAGTTCTTAGGGAGGTCGAGAGGGGCTATAAATGTCGCAAGTGTGAATTAGCTACTGTGACCCATAGCCACAGTCATATTTTTTCAACTGCAACACAAAAATCAGGCTTTTTTTTTTTCCAGTTAAGATAAAAAACAAAACAAAACAAAACAAACCAACAGCCCTCGAAGTTAAGCCCTGGACGTCATCACTGCCAGGTCACATTGCGCACCTCTCCGCTGCTCCCACTCTAGATGCCTGCTTTTCCTTTGGGGGCTTCAGGCTTTAGGAACCTAAGACAGCTTCCCTGGGGAAGTAGCACTTGAACTTACCAGTGGAGGAGATGGGGGCAGGCATATCAACTAGGAAACTGAATGATCTCTTCCATAAGAAATCCCACTTTGGGGGATGATGAGCCCTCAATTCAAGACCTGGCTGGAAAGCAGTGTAAACACTTTACAGAGCTTTTGTGCAGTGATGAGCACATTTGAATCCCAGTCTCACTCGAGAGCTGGATCTCAAGTTCCCAGGAGACAGGCTTGAGTACCTGGGCTGGGAACAGGGGCCAAGGGCAGTGCCTTATTGGAGAGCAATGCTGGAGGCCCAAGAGGAGAGAGAGGAGCTCACGCAGGAGAATGAGGAGGGCATTTGGAGAAGCTGGAGTGGAACTAGCCTACTGTTTTAAGGAGAGGGCGGTTTGCTGGGTCAAATCCTACAGAGGTCAAGTAAGATAAGGACAGGAACAAAGCCCCTGGAAGGCATTGGTGACTTTGGTGATAGCAAAATTGCCACTGGATGGGGAGTTGGGGGAGAAAGCCAGTTGGGGGGAGGTGCCAGCTGAGGAGGCAGAGACGGTGTCTCTGACTGTCATCGCCTTGTTTTCCTATGATGTGTCCCTGTTTCTGCAGGGAGCCCTGGACTGGAGTCTGGGTTCCAGTCCTGTCTGGGCTCCTGGCTGCTCTGATGATGCTAGATGGCCAAGGTCTCTTCCATTTTCTATGCTCCGTTGTTCTAGGGAGGCTGGGAGTGAATGGCATTGTGCAGACGGACCGCTTATGACATGGTGCAGAGCAAGGATAAACATTTGTTGCCCACAGGAAGCTGTGAGCTGTCACTTCAGGTGGAAGGCCGTCTGGGATGAGGGGTCTAGCTCCCAGCACATTATCAGGGCAGGTGGTGGGAATGGGAAAAGGGCTCTGCTTCGATCTCCAAGATGACCCACACCGTAGGAGGTGAGGCTTGTCAGGAGTGTCTAAGTTAACTCACAGGTCGGACAAGTCGGGAAAGACACTCTGAGGACCGAGTAGGAGATCAAGGTTGAGGGTTTGAGGTCTGTGGAGGGAGCAGGTGTGGGATGAGATAGGGCAGTGAGAGGCAGCAGTAAGGAAGAGGGCAGAAAGAAGGCCAGACTTGCTCTGCTCACCCAGACCTTGAAGAGTAGTCTAACTGGGCCAGTCCCTTTTGGGGAGCCCAGTGTACTAACATCTCAGCTTACAGAACAGATGAGTGAAGGGCTGGTCTAGAAGCAGGATATTACATGCCCCGTATTACATTTTGATTGTCCATGATTTCCTGAGACCTGGTCAGTTCTAGCAAATGACAACCCACCGCAGCCTTGGAACCTGACTAGCCGATGGGCATCCCAAGGATCCCTGTCAGAGAAGATGCAGAAGAATTCTGAACAAGCCACTGAGAAGAAACTTTTTAGATAAAGCCAGAGGCTAAATATATTTACAAGAGTAAAATCATGTTCTAACCTTTTCGAAGCCAACTGCCATCATGTATATTTAAATAAATATTTAAATTAATGTGTGTAAACCTAGAAGTTCTAGACATAGCCAGTTCTCTTTGGATTATTCTCTTTGCCTTTATAAATAAAGGCGTGTGAGCCTCATAATTTTGGAAGATACCTTAACATTGCCTGAAGACAATGTTTATTCATGAGTACTGTTGCATCCGGGGTAATAGCATATAAAAGGAGTGATCATTTTGTGAGCTTTCTTTCCAAGCTTTTGTGAGCTTTTTTTTCCATGGCTCACTTTCTTCCAAGGTCTTCCCAATGGTGTGGCTCCTTATTGCACTGAAAACCCCTGCTCTCTCCTTTAATGCCACCCTCAAATTTGCTTCCTCGACCAGGCTTGTTCTTTGCTTTCCCCATCACTGCCAGAATAAATCATATCCCTCTCAGGGTGCCTGGGTGACTCAGTCGGTCTAGTGTCTGACTCTTGGTTTCAGCTCAGGTCATGATCTCATGGTATGTGAGTTCGAGCCCCACTATCAGTGTGGAGCCTGCCTGGGATTCTCTCTCTTTCCCCCCCCCCCGCCCCTCCCCCACTCGGTCTCTCTGTCTCTCTCTCAAAATAAATAAATAAACTTAAAAAAAAGACGCTCTCTCCTTCTCCCTCTGCCCCTCTCCCCCTGTTCATGTGTGCTCTCTCTAAAATAAAATAAAATAAAATAAAATAAAATAAAGTAAAATAAAATAAAATAAATCATATCCCTCCGTTGTATCTCTGTGTGTCCCCACGTTCTGCCCCGTGTTAGGGAAAATTGCTTGCACGTTGTCCTCTCCGTGAGGCCAGAAGTTCCCTGAGGTCACGGACTTTGCTGTGTTCACCAATGTTAAACTTCCTTGAACATACCAAATGCTCAGGACATATTTAATCACCAAATGAATGATTGAAAGAATGAATATTGGGTTGTCTAGACATTTGCTTTTCCAACCATGAGCTCACACAGGTAAGCACACAAGGCCCCAGGTGTAGACACCCCGGGGAAGGATCTCTTTGTTAAAATCCACTTTCAATTTCTGTCTCCTTTTTAATAGAGTCATTGCACGATTTACCAGGCCGAATGGAACAAAGTCACGATGCACACCCGTTAGAGAGACATTTCCCTAACATTGTCAGGGAAGGAGGATCTTGGGTTTCAGAAGCCCAGAACGGGGAGGTCTTCTTTTGGTCTCAGCGAAAGATGCTTCTAGAAGCTGTGGCTTTGCTTATCTGGAGCCCTGGGCCTCGCTGGAATAAGTCGGTGGCAAGTTCACCGGTTCTGGGACGACCACTGGGTTTGCCATATAGACATTCGGGAGGACTACGCCCACCTGGAAAACACAGGCGCACAGGAGGGGCGCTGGGAGGGGTGCAAGAGGGACCAGGCAGGTGCGGAGGCCTTGAGGCCCTGGGAGACTTCTCTGCTCCTGGGCCGGAAGGGGAAGCATGGTGACCCTGGGGTCTCCGCCCCCTTCCGGGCGTCTTCCCTCCCACCCAGGAACCTCGGGGACTCACGTTGTGTTGACAGCAGACCAGTTGGCAGCCCAGGTGGGAAGATGCCCAGGCAATGCCGAACTCGAGGAGACAGAAAATGAGCAGCACGCCTGAAATCGCCACTCCGGGGGTCTGGAACCAGAGCGGGTAGAGGTCAGGAGTGCTGGCCGGGGCGTTCCAAATGTGGCTCTGCCGTGGACTGTCCCTGTGGCTTGGAGGAAGGCCCCTAACCTCGTCTTAGCCTTGTGGGGACAATGTCTCACCAGGCTCGTGTGAGGGTCAAGGGTGTGTGGACGAGACCTGGTCCTTTGACACTCACTGCCAGGGCTCCTCTAGAGGGAAGGGTAGTCATCCTTCAGGAAAACACCTGGATCACGTGAGCGGGGAGGGAGAGGAGCGGCGGCTGCGCAGACGCAGAGACAGCGTCTACGCGGACCAGTCTGTAGCTGCAGTCAGCCACCAATCCGGCAGCCACGAGCCCTGTAGCCACGAGTCCCGTGTGGCTGCTGAGCACTTGGGATGTGGCTGGTCCCAAAGTGACAGGTGCTCTAAGTGCAGAATACACTCAGGATTTATTTCAAAGACCGAGTAGCCCAAATGCAAAATAGCAAATTAATATACATATATTCATTTTGCACGGATTACATGTTGAAAGGACATTGGGATATATTGGGTTAAATAAAACATATTATTAAGATATTTTCACTTGTTTCGTTTTCTTCTTCTTTTTTCTTTTTTGTTTTTTAAAAATTTTTTTTAACGTTTATTTATTTTTGAGACAGAGAGAGACAGAGCATGAACAGGGGAGGAGCAGAGAGAGAGGGAGACACAGAATCTGAAACAGGCTCCAGGCTCTGAGCTGTCAGCACAGAGCCCGACGCGGGGCTCGAACTCATGGACCGTGAGATCATGACCTGAGCCGAAGTCGGACGATTAACCGACCGAGCCACCCAGGCACCACCTTCTTCTTTTTTCTTAAGGGGGCAACTAGAAAATTTAAAATCACACACACAGCTCACATTATATTTCTACCGGGCAGCCCTGTTCCATAGCACAGGTTGGTCCATGGGCCAAATTACGATCCATGGGCCAACTCCTGGCAGCTGCCTACTTTTGTAGGTAAAGTTTTATCGGAACACAGCCATGCTCAATGCTTATGGATTTTCTACGGCTGCTTTCCCACTACAGGGCAGGGTTGAGTAGCTGCCGTGGAAACCAAATGGCTGGGACACCTGGGTGGCTCAGTCGGTTAAGCATCTGACTCTCGATTTTGGCTCAGGTCATGATCTCATAGTTGTGAGATCGAGCCCCACGTTGGGCCCTGTGCTGACAGCTGGAGCCTGCTTGGGTCTCCCTCTCTCAACAAACAAACAAACATTAAAAAAAAGAAAAAAAAGAAAAAAAAGAAACCAGATGGCTTGCAAAGCCTTAAGTATTTATTCTCTGGCCCTTCACAGAAAACCTTTGCTGACCCCTTGTCCACAGTCATGGGCAGCAAGGTGAGAACGTGAGCAAGGATTCAGGTAGAGGCACGTGTGTGTTATTGTCACATTTAATTCTCCTCATAATGTCATAAGGTAGATTACCCTGTTGTAAAGGCAGAAACTAAGACTGAGAAAAGTCACGTGCTTAAAGTAACACAACAGTAAAGCGACATGTCGGGGACTTTAAACATTCTTCTGATTCTTGATGGTACTTCCTTCTGCTGTAGTGCTGTGTGAAGAAGCTTGGTGTTTGGGCCTTCTAACAATTTTCTAAATGTAGCCGAGTCTGAACCTGTGGGGGGGATGTTGGCTCAGAGGGGTACTCACCACACCCCAGGTGTCATAGTAGGGATAAGAGTCAGGGCGGGCATAGATGGGAGGGAGACTCATATCCATGATGAAGAGTGTGATTCCAACCACAGAACAGATTGCGCTGACAATGTTCAAGCCCAAACTGCCATTCAGCTGAAGAAGACACAGAGGGTCAGGGTGGGAGAGGAAAGTCATTGTAGCTGGGATGAACAGAGACTCGAGCTTCTTAACGTGAATCCCTGGAACCTCAGCTCTGTAGCAAGTAGAGTGATGGTCTGTGCAAAAAAGTGTGGGCGTAAGTTAGCTTTGAGAAAAGCTGGGCTGAACAAAGTGAAACAGGCCTTCGCTGTAGGACTTCTCAGAGCCTTTAACAAGGATCACGGATCTTGCGGAGAGGGGACTAGTCAATCGCCGTTTCCTCGAGTTTACCTACCCATCTTCGACTTGCTTATCCCACTGGGGATAGGTAGGAAGCTCCGCCCAGTGTCTTGGGATGCGACAGGCTCTGATGTCCCATGATTCTGGGCCATGTGCAGAAAGACATGCCCAGATCTCATGAGGCGCAGGGACCTGGCCATCCTGAGGCCCCTCACCCTAGACAACCTGCCGCGAGGGGAACGAAGGCGCTTTCTCGGCCCATTGTTAGGGGACCTCGGAGTCTCGTTCATGGGATTGGCAGAGACCGCTTGGCCGGATTCCTGAGGGAAGCAGGTGGTTGGGCCTCCCCTGGCTTCCCTGTAGAGATGGCCAGAGGCCCGCTCTGTGCGCCACGGCCACTGGCAGTGTCCGCTCTGTTGCAGGGGAGCGTGAGCCCCCGGGACTTTTGTGCCCCCTCCGGCACGAGCCTCTGAGGGACGGATGCTGTTCTGTCTCTGCCTCCACACCCTGATGCCTTCACTCAGGGCTGTGTTGTCCTTCCTTCCCTTGAACCCTCTGGACTCCTTCCTGCCATGACTCTGGCCAGGTTCACGTGCTCCTGCGTGTGAGTATGAGTGAGCACATGTGACAGCGTCTGTGTCTGGTTAGAAGTAAGCGCAAGGAGGGGCGTCTGGGTGGCTCAGGCGGTTGAGTGTCTGACGTTTGGTTTCGGCTCAGGTCATGACCTCACAGATGGAGCCCCACATCGGGCTCTGGGCTGGCAGTGTGGAGCCTGCTTGGGATTCTCTCTCTCTCTCCCTCTCTCTCTGCCCCTCCTCCCCCCACACACTCTCTCTCTCAAACTATGTAAATAAACTTAAAAAAAAAAAAGCCTTATAAAAGGAAGTAAGTGCAAGGATGAGGGGGGATTGTGCACTAACCTTTTCCCACCGTGTGTGTCTCCCATAGGTCCCGCTGGGAGAGCCCGGGTCAGGAGGTGACTTACCAGGTAAGAGGATTTTGGCTGATTTTCGGCTGACACTGAGAGGGATCCTGAAATGATGAACTGGCACAGAAGAGTGGGGGTTTAGAAAGAGGTAAGGAAGGAAAAGGAAAGAAGAGAAAGAGGGGAGGGAGGGAGAGAGACAGGGAGGGTAAAAGGAAGGAAAACAAGCTCTCTTGTACCATATGACAAGGCAGCAAAGTGAGATAAATACAGATTCTAGGACTGAGCTGACCTGGTTTTTCAGTTCTGGCTTGAAACTCATGTGAGGTGGGTAAGTGATTAATTTCTTGAGGTCTTTATTTCCTCACATGAACAGCGAGCTTACACATAGGAGATGTCCAGGAAGTATTATTTCTTTCCTTGTCTTTTATTTGCCCACAGGCGCATCTTGTTGGTTTGTCATCCTTCCCTTGGGATTCGTTAGGCACGGGGGCTTTGGAGGGAAGGAGGAAGGTCACCAGCATCTTCACTGCTTTGAGCTAGAAGCCCAACGTCACCTGGGTGAGGACTCGAAAGGTAGCGTCGCACCTCTAAGATGCTCCACCTCAAATATGAAGACAGGGAGGTGGATTGTGTGCCTTTATTTCGACACTGGTATTCTGCAGGCGCGGTAGATGGTGGGCTTACTCACTGTCATGAGCCCAGTGTGGTGGCAACGGTGGTCTGAGAGGGCATTGGCTGTGGTTGAACAACAGCTTCGCCGAGCACTCACTGTGTGGGGTGCTTTTCAAACCTTGCCTTATTTAACTGCACGGTGGCCCATCCAGAACTATTATTATTCTCCTTTTACAGATGGGCAGGCTGACGCTTGTGGAGTTTAAATAACTGACCCGAGACCATCCAGCAGATGGCTGGTCCAGATAGTTGAATCCAGACCCCATGTTCTTCGCCTTTACCACACAGACCCTCCCACCACTCAGGGTAGATGCGTGTATCTTGGGGTGGAAATGGTTTTACAATGAAAAGTTACTCTAGCTTCCTATGCCTTTTAAACGGAGTGTGATTTTTCCTATACGTGGGAAAATAAATCTCAGTCTTACAACCTTCTGTTATGGAGACTTGATGGGAAGGGAAGGGAACAAGAGGCTGGCCTTCTGAGGGCCTTGCTGGTCCTTTTAGGGTGCCAAAGGAAATGGGCCTTTGTTATGGGAGAGGACATTAGTGATCTTTAGGAAATACATAGTCCTGGACAAGGTAACCAAGAACAAAACTGCTTTGCAGATAAAAGGAGGGGGGCAGTCAAGAGAGTTTAGCAACCTGGCAGAAGGGGAGATGCCAGGGCAATTGCCAGGCACTTAAGATTATTCAATAGCTTTTTTTTTCTCCTCCCCTCCCCCATGGTCTTCTGTTAAGTTTCTCAAGATCCACATGAGAGTGAAAACATATGGTATCTGTCTTTCTCTGTATGACTTCACTTAGCGTAACACTCCAGTTCCATCCACGTTGCTACAAAGGGCCAGATTTCATTCTTTCTCATTGCCAAGTAGTATTCCATTGTGTATATAAACCACAATTTCTTTATCCATTCATCAGTTGATGGACATTTAGGCTCTTTCCACAATTTGGCTACTGTTGAAAGTGCTACTATAAACATTGGGGTACAAGTGCCCCTATGCCTCAGCACTCCTGTATCCCTTGGCTGAAGTTAGAGAGGGAGAAAGCCAAACCATAAGAGAGTCTTAAAGACTGAAAGTAAACTGGGGGTTGATGGGGAGTGGGAGGGAGGGGAGAGTGGGTGGTGGGCATTGAGGAGGGCACCTGTTGGGATGAGCACTGGGTGTTGTATGGAAACCAATTTGACAATAAATTTCATATATAAAAAAAAGATTATTCAATAACATCCAATGCTTAAGAACAAGCCATTCTTTGGCTGTGATGTCAGCCTCTCCATTGCCCCAAACTCCATTAAAATTGGTTGTACAGACACAGGGCTTGTGGGGGGGGGGGGAGGAACAGGAGCTCAGTTCCAAGTCTGGGTCCATGCAAAGCAGAGAGAGGACTTCAGCCTCAAGAAATGAGACCCAGATGGAAACAAAAGAGAGCAGGTGCTCACAGAAAGATGCTCCCGAGAACATAAGCCCTACCATGTTGCAGGCGTTGTAGGGGGATTATGGTGGATGATAACACTAGGCTATTTTATTTAAATCTCATGGGATAAGGAGGACTTTGGTTAATTATCTAAAGTTACTTGGGAATTCTGCTATTGATGAGAAAAGTTGCATCTGAATCATAGGTGTGTGAGTCCAGAGACGGCAGGCTGTGTAACAGCAGAGAGAAAAAGGAGGTGGGAGGGAGGACGGGGAGAAGGGACGTGTGTGTGTGTGTGTGTGTGTGTGTGTGTGTGTAGCTAAGAGGACACTAGACAGAATGCAAAAGAATCAAAAAGGCAGTAAAGTGGAGAAGATAAAGGACTTGTAGTTCTTAACTTTTATGGAGTCATAGATCACCCTGAGAATCTGATGAAAGCTATAGACCTTTCCAGAAAAAAAAAAGTACACACTCGCATATCAAATATTTCGCCACCGCGGGGACTCTGAAGCCCATCCGTGCACCTAGGTTGCATCCCCATTGCTTAATGACCATTCTGTGGCTGGGTAGCCACTCTCAAACATGGGTGGAAATGTCTTTTCTCCTGGAGCTCAGGCTGGGGGCCTAAGTTGAGCAACACTCGAGGGCTATTACCAATACATTTTTTACACATGGGCATTGTTGTGTGAATTGGAAAAAGGTGCCAGCCCTGGGTTGATGAATAAGAAGAAAATTCGCTGACCCATGGCGTGAGCCAATTAGAAAAGGTGCCCACTCCAGGCGAACGGCGTCCTGTAGGGCTGTCACTTGGTGTTATGGCTGAATTGTGTCCCCTCAAAATTCACCTATTGAAGTCCTAACCCCCCCCCCCCCAGTACCGCAGAATGTGACTATCTTTGGAGAGGGGACCTTTAAAGAGGTGACTAAGTTTCAGTGAGATCACTAGGGTGGCCCTAATCCAGTGTGACTGGTGTTCTTATGTGAGGAGGGGATTAGGGCACAGACACACTGAGGCCGCGTGAAGACACGGGGAGAAGGCGGCCATCTGCACGCCGAGGAGAGAGGCCTCAGAACAACCCTGCAGACGTCTCGATCTTGGCCTTCCAGCCTCCAGAACTGTGAGGTAACGCATTTCTGTTGTGGAAGCCACCTGGTCTGTGTCCATTGGTCACAGCAACCCGACCAACCGACATGCTTGGTAGGCGAGGCCTGAGCCAGATTCGCGCCCTGCTGGCTCCCTTGGCTGGGAAGCTGCTGCAGAGTGTAAGCCACACAGCTTGACAAGGTGGCCCCGGGTGTGCTGGCGCTTTCCGGGAGCTCATTTGCGGGGTGACCTCACGTTACTTACCCAGATGCCTCCCCAGAAGGGAAAGCCTCCGTAGAACGAGATCGCTGTGTAGTGCCCTGAGAGGACGGTGGCCATGATGGAGCCGAGGCCCACGTGGATCAGGCCAATCAGGATCTGGATGGCCTGTCAGGAGAGCCACAAGCTGAAGCCCTGGTTTCTGAGGCTGGATCCTGCCTTCCCTTTGTGCCTCCTTTTTATTTTCATAAATCGTTTGTTTTCCTGGTCTAACAAGTAATATGAAAAGTAGAAAAATGAAATGAAAACTTCCCACAATTACCCTCCGCTCAGGGGAAACACCCCACTTACGTTTTGGTATCTAGCCTCCCGTGATTCTTTTCAAATATATATTCCGAGAACCCAAGATGGCTCTGTACATTTAACATCTTATCGTGAACACAGCCGCATGGCAGTAAGCGTTCTTCAAACTTATTTTTTAAAAGGCTGCCTGATTCCATCTTGGGATGTTTTGGGGAGTAGTTGGAACAGAGATACTGAACAGGTAAGATTGTCCCCCCTTTTTCCCTGTTATAAATAATACTATCATGAACATCCTTGTAGATAAGTCTTTGTGTTCATCTCTTATTTCTTTAGGATGTTTTTAGGGATTGAATTGTGTGCGTCTCTCCCTCACCAAATTAATATATTAGAATTCTAACCCCCAGGGCCCGAGAATGTGACCTCATCTGGAATTAGGGTGGTTGTGGATGTGATTAGGTAATCCGATGTATACTGGAGTAGGGTGGGTGCCTCATCCTACGTGATTGCGGTCCTTTTCAAAAGACAGATACGAAGAGACACACAAGCACACAGAATTCCATGTGTGCCAAGATCGGCACTGTGCTTCCACAAGCCAAGGAACCACCAGAAGCTGGGAGAGAGGCTGGGGGAGACCTTCCCCTGGTGCCTTCACAGGGAGCATGGCCCTGGGGACAACTTGATCGTGAACTTTTGGCTTCCGCAACCGTGAGACAACTTCTGTTGTCCAAAGCCACCCAGTTTGTGGTACTCTGTTATGGGAGCCCTAGGAAACTAATATAGATATATTCCTGCACAAGTGGTATTTGGACATATACATAGATATATTAGGTATGTATATGTCTCTGTGTATACACTACAAATATGGCGGCACACACAAATATATTATTTCCTCAAATTTGTACAAATGGTAACAGACTATACACAGACTATTTTTTCTTTCCTTCAAGGATGTATCCTGGGCTAGGTCCATCTCATTACGCAAAAGCCTTCCTTGTTCTTTTTTATAGCTGTAGTACGTTCCATTCTTTGAATAATACATCGATGTAACCGGGATATATTGATGGATATTTTGGCTCTTCCCATTCTGTCGTCCACACAAACCGTGCTGCAGTTAATAAGCTCATCCACATCGCAATTCTTGTGTGCACGGGCGTATCTGCAGGACAGTCTCAGAAATGGAATTATCGGGCAGTTGGTAAATTTGGAGGATACAAATTGCCCTCCACACAGGCTGAATCGACTGACCCTCGCATTAGGCCCTGAGCTCAGGCTGCCTGGGTCGGAATCCGTGGTTGTCATCTTTCAGCTGTGCAGTGAAATGTGCCCCTGCTGGTCCCACCCAGGATGGCCTTGCAGGGGGAAAACCGTTGTGAAGTGCTATTTTGTTGGCTGTCTAACCTGATTTTTCCCCCCCTAATGGCCAAAGATTCCATCCGAGAAAGCTGGGTTTAGGCTCCACCTAGTGGCTTGATACACCCACTTCCTTCCAGAGGCCACGTGGATCGACATGTACTCTTGCAACAGGACCAACATTCCAGTTTACCACTTTTTTGTGGCTTTGCTTCCTCTTTCTTAAAGTGCCTAAGGCAGAAATTACAAGGCCCCACACTGAGACCCTGGTGATGTCGCACAGCTGAGATTTCTAGTAGATCTGGGTTTGGCAAGGCCGGATCAGCTCCTACCCCTCCTCCTGGATTTGAAGTTTCCGTATTTCCAAGCCTCCCACTTTGTCCGACTCCAGCCAGGGACCCCCGGCCTGCAGAGTGAAATGTCACTTACCCCTAAGACTTTGCTCTCTTTCAAGGCTCTCTGGGCAGGTTGCTCAGTTACAGATGACTTCAAACCAGGGGGGTTCACAGGAATGAGGTGGACTTGGGGCTGGTTGCTGGGATACGGGGGCACCTGACACATGCCTTCTTGGATCTCAGGATACCCGTTGGGGGGTGCCACCACAAACATGGAATTGGCCATGGGTCCTGCTGAAGCCATCAGGTTCCTGCTGCTAAAGAAATGTGATAAATATAAATGTGATAGGGGCGCCCGGGTGGCTCAGTCAGTTAAGCGTCCGACTTCGGCTCAGGTCATGATCTCGTGGTCTGTGAATTTGAGCTCCACATCTACCCCTGTGTTGGGATTCTCTCTCTCCCCACCCTCTCTGCTCCTCCCCCATTTGTGCATGCGCATGCTCTCTCTCTCTCAAAATAATAAACTTAAAAAAAAAAGAATACATGTGATAGACTCATCTTTTTGAAAATTAAAAAAGATGTTTATTTATTTTTGAGAGAGAGAGGGAGAGAGACAGAGTGCAAGTGGAGGAGAGGCAGAGAGAGAGGGAGACACACAGAAGCCGAAGCAGGCTCCGGGCTCTGAGCTGTCAGCACAGAGCCTGTTGCGGGGTGTGGGGCTCAAACCCCCGAACCATGAGATCATGACCTGAGCCGAAGTCGGAGGCTTACCCGACTGGGCCACCCTGGCGCCCCTAGACTCATCTTTCACGTAAGCACTAATGTTTGCATTAAAAAAGGACTTTTGCCTCCAGTAGCTCATTTGAGCATCTTAACCACTGATGAATGTATTAATCCTGCTTTAAAGATGATAATATCAGGTACCAGTTACGGGGCACTTATATAAATGGCCAGGCAGTCAGCACTTTCCAAACACGTTTCCTTTAATCCTTAAAACACCAGACCAGCTTTATAGGTGAGAAAACTAAGGCTCGAAGGAGCTAAATGCTGCCAGAAGGCGAGAGCTGTGTTTTTCCCGTTTTCGAATCTCTTATAAAGCTTAGCATGGAGTCATACCGTCTGATTACAAAACTTTAGAGGTGGAAAGTCTCTTGGAGAACACTGAGTCCAATTCTCTCAATTTCTGGAAAGGGATACTGAGGCTGGGGGAGTGGACATGAATCCCCCAAGGTCCCAGTCACAGAAATATTGGTTAAATGGAGAGCATACTCTTCAGAGGAAGCCCTGTTGTTACTGTGGTGTCTATTCATTGCATGTCCCACGCTGCTCAGTTTTCTGGGCCACTTACAAATTCTGGTCTGGTTTTTAAAATTTCTTAATTTTTTTGGAGCAGAACCCTCCCCCCCCAAAAAAATGTTTGTGCAATAAACCCTGCTGCATGCTCTACCCCACACCCAGATTCATCGTGTCTTGTTTGGCAGAAAGATCTTATCACCATCCCTCCATTAGCCATAAAAACCATTGGATGGACGACACATACTCACTTTGCTCTGCTGGCGGCTAAGTCTCTCTTGCTCCTGTTCCCAACTCTTTGCTGTAGGCAACCTGATTTCCCGAGAGAATGAACACACGAGGCTCGGTTGAGTGATAATGTTTAGAAAGATCTAAAGTCCCTTTCAATTTTCTCCCAGGTGCAGGCCAGGTCACCAGCTGCTTAGAGCTCAGCCTCCCGCCCCTGGTGTTTGCTTCCGGTTTCGGTCAAGGAGCCAATTAAACGCAATTCAACCGGCCAAGTGTTTAAATGGTATCTGTGCGGAGAAGAAAGGGTTGTTTTTGGTGCTCTGGGAAACACAGAGCGAGCTGGGCACTCAGGGATCATGTACATGGCTGTACCACAAGACAGAATGACCTAGATGCTACAGTTAATTACAGTTGGAGAAACAAGAGTCCCCAAAGGAGAACAGAGGAGAAACTCACTCGCTGGACTTGAAAACAGGGAAGACTCCAAACAGAAGGTGGAATTTTGAAATCGATAAATGGCATGAGGGAAGGGGAGTCACAGCATGTGAAATGAGGATTGCAATGAACTTCAGTCTATTTTCATCTAAGCCAGAGCCTACAGGAAATCAGAAAACACCTGGGGTATATCCATGATGCACATCGTGTGACTTGCATGAAATGTAAATGCACAAGAACTGCTGTACTAGGCAATGAGTATCTTGATGGAATAGTTAGCGCATCGTGTCCACCTTTGTCTTCCTACTGGCGTATAATAGGGACTCAGCAGATGCTTATTGAATGAACAGATGAACAAATGAGGTCGATGAGATGGCTAGAGCTTTGTAAAATGGTCAACAGAAAGGCCGCTATTGCAGACAGGGAGCATGGAGGGCAAAGGCATGGAAGAGAGGGGTGGGGGACAGATTCTGGGGGTGGCTGAGAGTGGCAGAGACGTTTTGTGGGAGAACGGACATTGAAAGTCGTGCGGATGAAAAGGTAGACAGAGCGAAACTTCATGTCTTTACCCGTTTTTCTATCAGATTTCTGGACCCTTGTCCTTCTGTGTTTAAGAGTCCTTTATAGGGGCACCTGGGTGGCTCAGTCAGTTGAGCATCTGACTTCGGCGTGGGTTGTGATCTCACGGTTCGTGAGCTCGAGCCCCGTATTGGGCCTCCTGCTGTCATTGCAGAGCCTGCTTCGGATCCTCTGTCCCTTTCACTGCCCCTCCCCTGCTTGAGCTTTGTTCAAAAATAAATAAAACATTAAAAAAAAGAGTCCTTTATATATTTCAGGATATTAACACTTCATCCGGGATATCTTTACTCCAAATTTGACTACTATCTTTTGATTTTTATGGTGGCTTTTAATTATGTACACTTAAAAAATTTCTGGGGGCGCCTGGGTGGCGCAGTCAGTTAAGCGTCCGACTTTAGCCAGGTCACGATCTCGCAGTCGGTGAGTTCGAGCCCTGCATCGGGCTCTGGGCTGATGGCTCAGAGCCTGGAGCCTGTTTCCGATTCTGTGTCTCCCTCTCTCTCTGCCCCTCCCCCGTTCATGCTCTGTCTCTCTCTGTCCCAAAAATAAATAAACGTTGAAAAAAAAAATTAAAAAAAAAATTCTGTAGCGGCACATGAAAAAATGCTCAACGTCACTCCTCATCAGGGAAATACAAATCAAAACCACACTGAAATATCACCTCACGCCAGTCAGAGTGGCTAAAATGAACAAATCAGGAGACTATAGATGCTGGAGAGGATGTGGAGAAACGGGCACCCTCTTGCACTGTTGGTGGGAATGCAAACTGGTGCAGCCGCTCTGGAAAAGAGTGTGGAGGTTCCTCAGAAAATTAAAAAGAGACCTACCCTATGACCCAGCAATAGCACTGCTAGGAATTTACCCAAGGGATACAGGAGTACTGATGCATAGGGGCACTTGCAATGATTATAGCAGCACTTTCAACAATAGCCAAATTATGGAAATAGCCTCAATGTCCATCAACTGACGAATGGATAAAGAAATTGTGGTTTATATACACCATGGAATACTACATGGCAATGAGAAAGAATGAAATCTGGTCCTTTGTAGCAATGTGGATGGAACTGGAGAGTGTTATGCTAAGTGAAATAAGTCACCCAGAGAAAGACAGATACCATATGTTTTCACTCTTATGTGGATCCTGAGAAACTTAACAGAAGACCATGGGAGAGGGGAAGGAAAAGAAAACTTAGAGAGGGAGGGAGCTAAACCATAAGAGACTCTTAAAAACTGAAAATAAACTGAGGGTTGATGGGGAGTGGGAGGGAGGGGGTGTGTGTGATGGGTACTGAGGAGGGCACCTGTTGGGATGAGCACTGGGTGTTGTATGGAAATCAATTTGACAATAAATTTCATGTTAAATAAAAAAAAAAATTCTGTACTGGCACACCTGGGTGGCTCAGTTGGTTAAGCATCCGACTTTGGCTCAGGTCATGATCTCATGGTTCTTGAGTTTCGGCCCCACGTCGGGCTGTGGGTTGAAAGGGCAGAGCCTGCTTCAGGTCCTCTGTCTCTCAGTCTCTGCCCCTCCCCACCTCACACTCTCTATCCCTCTCTCAAAATAAATAAACATTAAAAACAATTTAAAAAAATTTCTGTAGTAAAATTTATCAATCTTTTGCTACTGCTATAGACTGAATGGTCGTATCCCCACTCAGCCCTGCAATTCGTATGTTGAAATATAATTCCTCATGCAATGGTGTTTGGAGATGGGGCCTTTGAGGATGATTGGGGAGGAGCCCTCATGAATGGGATTAGTACTTCCTGTCCTTGTCATGTATGGGATTAGTACCTTTATAATCTCAGAGAGCTCACTAGCCCTTTCTGCCATGTGAAGACATAGTGAGATGACCATCTGTGAACCAGGAAGTGGGTTCTCCCAAGCACTAAATCTACAGATGCCTTAATCTTGGACTTTCCAGGCTCCAGAACCATGAGAAATAAATGTTTACTGTTTAAGCCACCCAGTCTATGGTATTTTTGTTACAGCATCCCAAACAGAACAAGACAACTATCTATGGAGTTTAAGTCTTTGTTAGAAAGCCTTTCTTGGGGCTCCTGGGTGGCTCAGTTGTCTAGGCATCTGACTCTTGGTTTTGGTTCTTGTCACGATCTCACTTTTTGTGGGTTCGAGCCCCGCGTTGGGCTCTGTGTTAACAGTGAGGAGCCTGCTTGGGATTCTCTCTCTTTCTTTCTCTCTCTCTCTCTCTCTCTATCTCTCTCCCCCTCTGCCCCTCCCCCGCTTGCACTCACACACTCTCTCTCAAAATGGATAAACTTAAAAAAAAAAAAAAAAAAGAAAGAAAGCCTTCCCAAGACTAAGATTAAATAGGAATCCACTTGTATTTTCTTCTAGAACTGGTATGGTTTAATTGAAAACAACAACAACAACAACAATTCATAAATAATCCAAATAGGCTTTTATTTTCCCCTCAGACAGTTTAGTATTTGGTGTCAATGTGCCTTTTTCCTACCATAGTGCTTCCTTCCCCCAAACTATTAGTGTTTTTTTTTTTTTTTGATGAATAATGCAGTATGTGATTTAGCTTTTTACATTTTCATTCCTAATACATGTAAAGTTTTGCTTCTGTGTAGTGTGAGGTATGGATGTGATTTTATATTTTCTCAAAAGGCTACCTTGTTGTCCCAATACCATTTATTAGACAGTCTATCTTTACTCTGGGGATGTGAAATGGCATCCTTGTCACATGTTAAATTTCTGTATGTATTTGGACCTAATTCTGGCCTTTCTCTTCTATTCCACTGGTC